TGTGTGTGTGTGTGTGTGTGTGTGTGTGTGTGTGTGTGTGTGTGTGTATTTCTACCCTAATAGATTATCGATGCACTACTGGGTTGGTTGGCTACAGCAGACAGTGGAAATGGGCCTGGACTCCCCTGAGGAAACAAGATATCTCCAATACACACATAGAAACGCACACAGCTAACACACATACAGTAGATACAAACACAGGCACGATGTGACTTCATAGGGGGGGGGGGGGCTCTTATACGCGGGACTTTAAAGCACATTTTGCACACTCACACACACACTTACTTGCAATTAGACACACCACACACCTGCTGGGTCTTTAGAGGAAGCTGAGCTCCATTCTGCCTGTATCTGAAGATGAAAGGAGGAGGAGAGGAGTGCAGAGACAGGCAGGAGGGAGAGGAGGAGGAGGAGGAGGAGGAGGAGGAGGAGAGAGAGGGAGATGGGGAGAGAGGTAGAGGACAAAGAAAGATGGCAGATAAAGAGGAAGAGGAGGAGCAGATATGAAGGGTGATAGCCAACTCTGCATGCTCCCACCTCTTCTTCCTCTCTCCTTTGTGAACAGATGGGTGGAGGTATCAGATTGTGATGAAAGCCAAAATGGGTACATACAAGTACATACACAACGGCAGTCACACATGGCCACACACACATACACATACACACACACACACATACACACACACACACACTCTTTCACTCCACCATACAGATGCAATATTTAGCATCCCATGTTGCTCACTGTTTCCTCATTCTCCCACACTGTCATATTTACATATGACATGATCATGTTGTGTGTGTATGTACACAATGATCATGAGCTCAGGTCAGGCTGGGTCCATAGTCTTCTTACCAAAAGTGAAGGCAGTGTACACACACAAAATCTAACTTGACACTGAGTGATGTCCTGGACAGAGAGACAAGCACAGGGAGGGAGGGAGGGAGTGGCTGGCTCCAAGGAGATGATGAATCAGATGAACAGTGAAGAAAGAGATACGGCATGATGAAGAAAAAGGCGGATAAGAAGGAGAGAAAAAAAAGAAGGCATCAAAATTGCTGTGGGTCTTTGCTTGCAGGGGAGTAGGGCAAATGGAGGCATGATGTAGAATCCAAATGTCTCGGTGTCACTGGGTTCACCGGCAATCTGTGCCGATCGCGCACTACAACATCCACTCCGGCTTGTGCTCGGAACTAATGACATCTTTGTCATATGGTGTCACACTTCTACAGCTTCACCGGGGATGTTTGTGTGTCGGCAACTTCAAATGACACAGAAAAGGTAACAGTTTGGCCTTTAAGGACTTCACCACCATGACATGTTGTAAAGTAAACTGCACACAGTACACTCACTACACCTGATGGATCCGTGCCAGTAGAGAGCAAAGGCATCAGATGGATGTTTGGGGGAATCATTTTATAAGTGCTAATTTCTCCCTTAGTGTTGCAAGAAGTAGGATGGAGGGTGAAATGTGCACAGTCTGGCCTCCCACAGCTTGCAGGTGTGTACTTGCGTGTGTGAGTCGTGTGCTTCTAGTCTATATATTGTCAGCTTTCTGCCGGTCATGGTGGTCAAATGTACTGCCACCATTTACATTTGCTGGCAGTACAAAGTCTGTGTTCCTAGTCCAACAAGTTTAGTTTGATGGAAGTTTTTTTTCTGGCCCGACTATCCGCTCTCTCAAATCTCGCTGTACGTACTTCCAGCTGTCAAGTGAATTTCATGGAAACTTAAAAAATTATGCAAATGAGGTGTTTTCCATCATCAGTTTGAAGTGAATAAAAATAGGCTTCCTGAGTGTCAAAACTGGACATCCACTAAAAAGAGTCTTTGGGTTTTGGGTTTTCTTGGATGTGATATCTTACAGCCTCTCAGAACCTCCGACCTCTTTTAACTTTACCGCAATGAAAGTGAACTATTAACAGTTACTATTTAAGCAATACATTGACATTCAGGGAAACGCACGTATACGCTTTCTTTCTGGGAGTTAGATTAGAAAATCAATAGCTCTCTCATACATGAGTAAATATAAGGCTACAGCCAGCAGCTGGCTACCTTAGCTTAGCATGAAGACCGCGATGAGATTCAAACGGACATCCTGAAGGCAACCAGCGGAGACTTTAGGAAGTCAAGGACATAGTGTGGCACATAACCCATTTAAAACAAAGCAAATAAGCATATTCTTTAAAATGTTAAACTATTCCTTTAAGGCTCAAATTATAGTTGTTTATTCACAGAGATATCTATGTTAAGAATGTTATGGGTAGCCAAAGACGTTCATCCCAAAGCTTTGCAATGCGTTGTATGGCCTTGGGCATCAAACAACCTAATTGGCTGAGCCAACTTTGTGGGAAAACAACAAAAAACGACATTACAAACTTTCTATAGCATTATATTAACATTTTAAATAAAACAGCTACGCAGACGTCTTTGAGCGACATCACGCACGTTCGCTTTCATGGAAATAAAGACAAGCCAGTTCCGGCCTTGGTCTGACGCATTATTGGATCTAATACTGACTAAAAAGTGCTGGAAGTCAAAGTTTTTTAAGGAATTGATCAAATAAGCTCCAGTCATCGTCTTAATTCCAATGGATTACTCTCTTTCTCTCTCCGCTCTCTCTCTCGAGTAACACTTGTGGTGTGGAATCAACAGCAGAAGGGAAGTAGAAGAGGGGAAGATACTTGATGAAGGGAGAGAAAGAGGGAGGGGGGGGCTAAACCAGTGTTAATTGAACACAGCTGTACCTCGTTAAACATTAATTGGCAATTAATCAGCTCCCTCCCTCTCCATGAATATATCTTCAATATATCTTTTAAAAGAAAGAGAGAGAGAGTGGGGAATAAAGTAAATTATTCACAGTAGCACAAGGAAAGCCTGTTCTCGCTCAGCCTCCCTCTTGCTCTCTAGTTTTTCTCTCCATCTTCTCACTCTTTCTCTCCCTCTCTGTGCTCCATTCAGCCCATTAATCTAGTTTTCTGCCTTTATCTCCGCTTCCTTCCCCTCATCCGTCTGTAGTTCATCTAGAGATTGAGAGAGACAGAGGAGAAGTTAAAGAGAGATGTCACAACAAGGAGGAAGTGCCAGTGGGGGGAAAGAGGTACGGAGGTGGAAGGAGAGAGGCCCTGGTGCTCCTCCATGAAGGGATTCAAGAATAACCTCAGTGAACCACGTCCACACCTAAATCAGCGTGAAAATGATGTGGAACGGCGTGCATCCATTCCAGGTTGTTTTTGGAAGGATCTGGGGATAACAGCACACACTTTTCAACTTTCTTTGAAGGCCATCATGGTGTTGCACTCAGTTGTACAAGAAAAGTGACAAAAATAGTTGTGTAAAGATAAAAAAAATAGAGCTTTACCACCTGACCAATCAGGTTGCTCAGGTTGTCGATTTCTGAGAGATCATATTTTCAAATGTAGCCAGCTAGTGTGAATGTATTTTAAGAGCAACCTGTGAATGCTGCTGAAGTTTAGATCCAGCGTACGTGGCCACAGGCACTTTGTGTTCTAGTGTTTGAAGATGCACTGTGTGTGTGTGTGTGTGTGTACTGTGTGTGTGCAGTAAGCCCAGTCTGTCCTGCAGATCCGGTGGGTCGGGCTGTTCTGTGCGGTGCTGCTGGCTCTTATATAACAGTACTGATTACAGCATAAAGGGTGACCTGCAGTGCACCCACTGACACACATTCTTTGTTTTTCCTCCTTCCCTCGATCCGTCACTATCTCTTCATCCCCGCTCGCGCTTGTTTCCTCTCCCCCAAATCTCAGCTATTTCCATCTCACTCAATTAAGCGCTCTCCAAAACGCTTTGTTTCCTTCCGTCTCTTTTCATTATCAATCGCTGCGTCCGCTCTCTTCGCACTCTGTATCGGTGTCACTTTGGCTGCATCCCAAAAACTCTCAGCTATTGCTCACCAACTCTCTGCTTCGACTTCTTTCCTCCCTTTTTTTTATACTGTCCTCTCTATCAGTTGCCATCTATCTGCCCTCACCATCTAAGTCTCTCTTTACCTCCCTCTCTCTCCGTCTGGGCCCCAGCCCAAATATTATAAATGATATTGCATGCTGGCTAGGGGCCAAATCTGCAAGGCGATAAATCAATACAGCGAGAGAATTATGTAACGTGCCACCATATTGACTTCTCTCTTCCTCCTCCATCCCTGGGAGGTTTCCTCCTCCGCCCCTTGCTCTCCGTCATCAGCTCACCTTTCACTTGCTCTCATTTAACCAGATAAATCCTCAAAGTCTAATTTACAGCCTCGGCCTCTGAGTCAGTTTTGGGGTGAAGGCGTGTTCTGTACACTGATGTGCTGGATCATACAGTACAGCTGCTGTCATCAAACAATTATCACCTGTTGGGACTGATAGGAGATGATGACAATACATCTTAATGTAAATGTGGTGGAATGTACCGAGTCCTTCAAGCTGACATTAGAAGTTGAAGGCTTAACTTTCAGAAAGAAACAATCTTAGTTTAAAAGGAGATTTTTAGGTGGCCTGTTTTCGCCGGGTCATTTGTTTGTAAATCAAACTGCTGGCTTGTGTATATGCTCTAATGGTGCAGTTGGTCTGCAATACTTAGTAATCTGCAAGGTTAGGCTGTGAGATTAAGTTGTTGCCCAGTAACGGTTCAGTGAAGAAACATTGTTTTCTAGGTTTGAATCTCGGCACGAATTTTTGGCAACTAGGCTGAGGACAAATGCTGAGTTCATTTACAGTAAAAACTAGATACAGTTTTTCTGCTTCTAAATTGAAGCAATAGTTTGCAGATTATCCCTTATATGCATCCCTATACAGAATATTGTTTACATGTATCTTGACAGATAGTCAATACTTACATTTAACATTTTACCTCCAGTTGTTCTCTTTATTCAACATTCTTCTGCCACATCTCCTCCTATGAATTTACAACACTTCTGCAGTGTTTATGCCAATAAATGGTACAAATATACCACGAGCAGCTTGAATCTATCTGGTTTACCTCTATAGAGGATGATACAGTGTTAACTGGTGAACATGGACAAAGAAGCAGTGAGTTTTAAGTGAAGAACATGTTTTATCATTGGATAGGTACACACCTGATGGAAACGAATGACTCACAGCATTAGATACCAACATCAACAGCAGGTTCATTCAAATTATGTGCAGAGTTCAAGGATTGTGTGACTCAACTGAATGAGATCAAACGAATGAGAAGTGGTTTGAATAATCAGCTTTGATAACTTTACATTGTAGCTCTTCCCCGGTGAAAGGGTTTGGAACAGAATGCTGCTGTATAGCATATACAGCAGGAGCTGAAATGACATTCACCTCTTTTGGAGAGCAGATGCATTCAACAACTGGCACATACCTTCAGTCTCAGTACTCTCTGTTACTTTTTTCATTCTAGTCATGCAGTCTGGAGCCGGGGGTCCTGGTGCCCTGGCTTCTTTATGGAGGGGGAGGAGTCTATAGGATTCAGTGAGTAAGCAGTAACACTTCCTATATTTCCTCCAGCCTATGCCCTGGTCAGAGAGTGCAGCGTTTCCATGCTGTATTTTCCATACCATTACCCCCACCCTCTCTCTCTCTTTCCACCTCTGCTTTCCAACTGTACTCTTTCTCTCCTCTCTGGAATTCCATCTTCCTGCATGTGGCCGGCACTCAAGAGGGCATGCTGTGTGTGTGTGTGTGTGTGTGTGTGTGTGTGTGTGTGTGTGTGTGTGTGTGTGTGTGTGTGTGTGTGTGTGTGAGAGATATAGGAAACATCTCCTGGTGAAGGAAAGGAAACATGAAGCATGCATTTTCTGTAACATGCCAACAAGTGGGCACTACTTGTTCCACTGCCCCAGCCTGAAAGCTCTGTAGAGCTCAAACATGGTTTCTGTACTGACTGTAAATGCAGCACATTTTGTATCAACACATTTAGTGAAGGGCAATGAAGAGCATACTCGTTAGAAAACATTATAGTTGACTTTTGAATAGTTTTGGTTGTTTGTTCATTTGTCAGTACTTTAAGTAACATTGATCTGGAATGCCTTTCCTTTGTTCAACAAAAGTGGTTTCTTTGAGAAAACAGACAAGACACTGAACACTGTGGAAGAAGGGAAAGAAAGTTCATAATGCAATACAAAAAGAACTGACTTTCATTCACGTCAAGAACAACTTACTTACTTACTTTTGTATTTCTGGCTATCGTTGCTATTGGTAATGAAGGAGGTACAAACACAAGCAGTTGACAACTTTTAAACAAACCCCCAGCACAGCTAACGGTATTTAGAAGAGAAGACGATGGCAAATGGTGACATTATTAGCCAAATGATCTGTTGTAAACATCTAGTGAACACGCCCACTTCCGGGTTCGACTTTGACCTACCATTCTTGCAGTAGTTTTACATGTGCACAGTTTTCCTCTGCAATTAGGAATTATTGTCTGACTGCTCTGGTTTCTCGCCCAGTCCGTCGTAAATGATGTATACGACAGTCAACTTAACTTTGCCAATAAGACCCAAGTTGTAATAAACTGGAATGTACACAAAAAGTACACAAAACTTAGTTTACGAAGAGGAAATGGCAGTAACGCAATCATCTAATCGAATCCATTTGATTATAAACGGACAGTAGAATCCAATCAAAACACTAACCGTATGCGGACAGAAGTCAGTACATGCAGGACAAGAGTCTTCCAGTGGTCATGTTGTACCACAACTGGATTCTATACCTAGAAGCCATTGTTCTGTCGAGCCACATGTTAGCTGTTTCTTATGCTACACCCTTATCGCTGTATGGCTTCACACATCTGTTGGTACGGAGATGTTGGTGCAGTAAATTCACATCTGGGCAGCAACACACGCTGCAGAGTTTTATAACCCCGATCGAAGGTTATCTGCATCTGTATCTATCTGTATAATCACCGGCGTACTGTACTGTAGGTCAGAGCACATCTCCGTCAGGCTTGCATCACACTAATGAAGAACAGAAATCAAGGTACAGAGTGAACACAGAGGCTCCTTCTGCTCCCCAATCCCATCTGTTTGACACACAGAGGTAGGGAGGAGAAGGATGGAGAGAGAGAGAGAGGGAGGGGTGGTAGACGAATGAGAACGAGGCCAGATCAGGCTGAGGGAGGGATGAGGGGGTGGAAAGGGGGGAGGTGCTGTTTAGAGAAAGGCAGTGAGTGAAAAAAAAAATCTGAGAGGCAGGCTGGGGGGTTGGGCTCCAAGCCTCTGCATGTGTATGTGAGAGAGAAAGCAGCAAGCGAATGTGTGTCGTTTGTGTGTGTGTGTGTGTGTGTGTGTGTGTGTGTGTGTGTGTGTGTGTGCGTGTGTGTTTGTGCGCGTGTGTGCGCTCGCTCTGTTCCTTTCCTTTCTTTGTTTGACTACTGAGTGGGAAAAAAAAGCTCGACAGAATATAGAGAGATAGAGAGAGGGTGAGGGAGAAAAACACAGACAGAGGAGGAGAAGGAGAGGATCTGAAATGAGAGTCACTTTTATTTTTTTTTAGAGAGGGAGAGAAGAAGAAGATAGACAAAGGATTTCTATTTTGGTCTGGGTTTTTTTCCTTTCTATTTTTTTCCCTTGCAGACTGTAGAATAAGAAAAAGAAATGTATAGCAACAAAAACAACAACAGCGCTGCATGCCTTTGACAACAGTGTCATATTCAAGAGCGGTGTGTGTTTTCTGTGCTGCCTCGGTGTGTGTGCGCGTGTGTGTTGAGGAGGTGGGGGTAGGCAGCCCGTGCGATTTAAAGGGAAAATACAAGGCACACACAAAGCTGGGAGCGCAGGCAGGCAAGGCAGCAGGAAAGGCAAGGAAAAGAAAGGTGGAGGGAATCTGCTGAGCTGGCTGCCGCTTCAACCAACAAACCTCTTTGGGATTTTACTCCACCGAGCCGACCCTGCGTCTCCCTCTCAGCTCAAACCTGAGCCACGGCCACGGTAAGACAAGCTGCCTATCCACGAGCGCTCAGCTGTTTGCACCGCTACCCCTCTGCAGACAAAAGCAGGAGAAAGTTGCTGTGTGTGTGTGTGTGTGTGTGTGTGCATGTGCAGATGGAGAAGAGCTAAGCTAAAGGCTGAAGCTAAGGCTAAAAGGCGTGAGGAATGCAGCACAAAGGGAGCTTGTGTGCTCCAGCTGGGGGTGTGTGTGTGTGTGTGTGTGTGTGTGTGTGTGTGTGTGTGTCTTTGTGGACGGGCTTGAATGTTTATGTCACGGGGCTTCCCAAACTTTTGCATGTGAAGGATGCCCCAAAATAGACGAGCACCGACCACAGAGACTGTTTTTGGTAAAAGATTTGACAAGAAGGCTGGAGGTGGAGAGAGTGAGAGCTCCTATCACATTATGCCTTATATAGTGTCTGCTAGTGCTGTACATGAAAGCAAATATTCCAAAAAATTATTGTGATTGTCATTTACTGGGGAACAAAAGGAAAGGAGTCTAGAAGGTCCCAACGTGTTAGTTTAAAAACCAGCAGTTCATGTCAGAGCCGGACGATTTAAATACCCCTGACGGCTCCGCAGCCAGCTGGCTCACCGGCGCGGAAAACAAAATACAAAAAGTAGTTCATTTTTACTCGTCTATCTCTTTGTCTCAATTGTTTCTCATCCCTTTCCCTTCACCCTACACTAGCATGTCATTTCTTGCTCTTCCATCTTCACTCCTCGATCTTTGCTGATGTAAATGCTAGTTTGCACAAAAGGTCTCTCTCCTTCTTTCTTCCCCCCCGTCTCCTTTTTCCTCTCCTTTTGGTTATCTCTCCATCTTATCACTCCATTGTGAAATAGAGAGGTGACCGTATTGAACATGGGTCTTGTGACTTTGCTGGCTAAGCATTAATCGGTGACTGCCTATCTCTTCTCCACACACACACACACACACACACACACACACACACACACACACACGCCAGCTCCCATTAGCTTCTTACACATATAAACACACACATTTCTGTACTACAAAGTGTGTGCTGTCCCGTTAGGTGTGTTGTGGTCTGGGGGCTTTCACCTTGTTCTTGTCAGTAGTCTGGTCTGCGGTCAGCACCCGTTTTGTAAGTGTGTGTGTGTGTGTGTGTGTTACTGATGTATAAAGAGCTAATAGGAGCCGGCGTGTGTGTGTGTGTGTGTGCATGCTCCTTCCTGCGCAAGGGTGTGAGAAACACAACACTTGTGCCGCCGTCTGCCTAGAGCTAATATTGTTGTGTGTGTATCGGTCCCTGTCTTAATTAAATCTGCCCCCCCCCCCCCCCCGTGTTTAAACCACTCCAAATATTCCTAGAATAAAGGCCTCACTAGAAAGACACCTCACGCATGCTACTGTAAACTGATCTCTGCTACTCCGCCACACACGCACGTGAGCCCTGGCACGCACATGCACACATGCACACTTCCACACAGAAGTCAAAATAAGTGTTACTGTTCCATTTGCCGCCCCCCCCTTCATGTCCTCCCCGGGGACTTTCCTCCTTTCTCTCTTTTCATTAGTTCATTACCAGCGTAAGTAGAGCACCCTACACTCTCTGACATTTCTCTTTCCTTTTTTTCTTGTCTTTCTTTTTTTATTCTTCCGCCACCTCCTGCCCGACTAGGATTATCCAATAGCGTGCCAGGCGCGGTTCAGCCAGGGTCCCCTGCTGTGGGCTGGAATACATCATAGCTGCTCGCTCACTACCTGACATAACCCTGCCCCATTAGGATACACTGTATACAGGACACAGCCAGCGCTAATGCTGCGCTAATCTGTTTATACTGTGCTGCTGGTTCCCAGACTGAATGCAGAGAATGGTGTATTACAGGAGGATATGATATGACATGATGCATTTCATTATGGTACTTTTTGATACAGTTCTTTATGTTCCATCAAATGGAGTAGTTTATTGTCTAAAATGTTAAATACAGTTAAATACAGGCAAATAATATCATCTGATAAATGAAGATGGTACTGGTTGAACATAACTGATTTCGTAGGGTAGTATTAAATTATGGAAGGGAAAATCATATTATATAATGAGCAGCTGTATTGTAACTAAAAAACTAAAATAAGAAGGTTTTTATTTCCGTGTCATGCCAAGCATTTGATACTCAGTGGTGTTTACTTTTATGTGTAATTTGAATGTGTTTCTGACAGAGTTTTTTTCTCTCATCTCGAAGGCTTTCTCTAGGTAACAGCCCAACTCACAAAATGAAATATTCTTTACGTCTCAGTAGAAAACAAAGCAGAAAAGATAAAAACATATATTGGTTGATTCAGCGAGATGTAGCATAAAACAAAAGATTTATGCTTTTAGTAAGACACAAAGTAGCATAGTATAATAGCATCTGTAATATGGCGAGACAGATTCCATTACTTTCCCATTAGACTGTTGTTTTTTTCTCTGTAGGCTACAGTTTTGCACAGTCATTAATGGGG